AGCTAAGTATCACTATTCCCCAATATTGTGAAATTTATGTAATCACTTAACTTCAATAAACTTTTTTTAAAAAGTTCTCTTTATACTGGGTTATTATAAAAATGCCTAATAGAGAATTATAGACACATTCTAGGGCAGAATCCACTTTCTAGGCACCCTTGCCTAATTTCTGAGAGAGATATTGCTCAGAGTTCTCAACACAAAACCAACAGGGAGATATCATTTATGCGTGTGTGTGTGTGTGTGTGTGTGTGTGTGTGTGTGTGTGTGTGTGTGTGTGTAAGATAAAGCTTATTATGGGGACAAGTTCAAGAGTTGTAGAGGCTGGAAAATCAGCAAGATGCCATTTGCAAGCTTGAGAACCAGGAAATCAATGATGTCAGTTTCTGTCCATGGCTGAAAGTCTGAGAAGAGGAAAAGAGTGGCCTGATGGTGTAAATTCAGACTAGAAAGTTGTGTCGTGAGGAGTGTGTAAATGGTGTGTGTGTGTGTGTGTGTGTGTGTGTGTGTGTTGGCAAGATCTAAACTCAGAGCTTCATGCATGCAAGGCAAACAAACTATGGCTGAATTATTTCTCTAGTCCCTGTGTGAATTAAACAAAACAGGCCAGAGAAACAAGAATTCCAATGTCCAAGAGCAAGAGAAGATATACGGGTCCTAGAACCCTAGAGCCCAGTAGATTCAATGCTGTCCATTCATATGGTGATAGTGGATTTGCTGTACTTAGTCTTCTGATTGAGATAATAATTCCTTCCAGAAACATCTTCAGGGACATACCCAGAAGGAATGTTTTACCAAGTAAATGGGTCCAGTCATGTTGATAATCGACATAAAAATAAATCATCACGGCACATACACAACACAAATAACTACTTGTTTGTAGATTTAAGCAAATGACATATGCATTCCTCACTTCAGTTTTCATCACTATCCACATCAAACTCCTCACACTAGAAATACCACTGTATCCGGTTCCACAGATAAAACCTGATACATAATGAATCAGGATCTCAGCTGAATAAAATCAAAACACCACTCTACACTCTACACCACTTCTCCTAAAATGTTCAATTTATTTTTAGATTTTCTGACTGAAGAATAGTATTTATACATATTTCTTTGGCACATTGTGATATTTTGTTTCATTTTTTTAGGTTCTACTTATAAATGAATTTACCACATATGAGGCTTTCTGCACTGGTTTATCCCACTTAATATGATGTCCTCCAGGCCTGTCCATGTTGAAAAGGATAGATTTCACAAATTTCTGAACAGAATCCCATTGTATATATATGCCACATTTTCATTTTGAATTCACTCCATTAATGGACATGGAGAGCCAAGTATACTGACTGGTATATGCCTGTAATCCCCACATTAAGGCAGGATATTTAAAAACGTTTTTGTAACATGTGAACTCAGTATTGCAAAGAACTTCCATTCAAATATATTCTGAAATAGTAGTTAATTATTATTTATCACATACTATACTAAAAGTACCAGCACAACTATGTTTACTGCAGCATTATTTACCATAGCTAAGATATGGAACCAACCCAGATGCCACTCAGTAGATGAATGGATAAAGAAAATGTGGTATTTATATATATACAATGGAATTCTATGCCTCCATTAGAAAGAATGACATTGCCCCATTTGTTAGGAAATGGAAAGACTTGGAAAAAATTATATTAAGTGAAGTAAGCCAGGCCCAAAGAAACATAGGTCCCATGGTTTCCCTTATTTGCAATAACTAGTATATGTCTGAGACAAACAGAAACGGTCAGATAAGTTGATGTGAGGCGAAATGAACCCCAAGATAAGGATTCAAATGTTTTTCTTTGAGATTGTTTCTAACATATTGATAAGATAATTTCTTTGTTGCTTTGTATGTCCCTCCCCCACGGTATAACCCCTGTTTTCACTGTATTCAATGCTGGTATAATTTGTGGAGGGGAAGGGAAAAAACAAATTGTTGGGGCTGGGAAGATGGCTTAGTGGTAGAGTGCTTGCCTTGCATGCCTGAGGCCCTGGGTTCCATTCCTCAGCACCACATAAGCAAAAAAGAAAAAAGCCGGAGGTGGCTCAAGTGGTAGAGCGCTAGCCTTGAGCTGAAGAGCTGAGGGACAGCGCCCAGGCCCAGAGTTCAGGCCCCACTATCGGACCCAAAAATAAATAAATAAAATATTAAAAAAAAAGAATCTTTAAAAAAATAAAAAATAAATAAAAAAAAAGAAAAAACAAATTGTTTAAATAGGGACACGGTTGGACCCATTGCAACAATGAGATGTACAAATAGTTATGTCGAAAAATGAACTTTACAACTTTGGCGGGTGTGGGGGGAATGGAAAGTGGGAAGGAATGGGAAGGGGAAACAAAGGAGGCAACACTTCTTGATAAGAAATGTCCTCATTACCTTTCCCATGTAATTGTAACCCCTCTGTATGGTATTTTCACAATTAAAAAAAAATACCACATCAAGCAGAAAAAAAAAGGGCAGGATAAATATTTTAAAAAGGTTTTTTTTTTTTTTTTTGGTCGGCCGTGGGGCTTGAACTCTGGGCCTGGGCGCTGTCCCTCAGCTCTTCAGCTCAAGGCGAGCGCTCTACCACTTGAGCTACAGCACCACTTCCGGTTTTCTGGTGGTTTATTGGAGATAGGAGTCTCACGGTCTCTCCTGCCCGGGCTGGCTTTGAACCGTGAAACTCAGATGTCAGCCTCCTGAGTAGCTAGGGTTACAGGCGTGAGCCACCAGCACCCGGCTTAAAAAGGTTTTTGTAACATGTGAACTCAATATTGCAAAGAACTTCAATTCAAATATATTCCAAAATAGCAGTTAATTATTATTTAATCACATTGTCTCAACTGAATTTTAAACAAGTTCTTTGAAATTAAATAATTACTGTGTCAACTATTTCCCCATGGATAATTAAAGTGCAAGTTCATAAAAGTCTGTCCCCTTATAATGTTTGGAACTGTAGAAAATCCAAACTGAAGAAAATCATGTGAAAGATTTAAAATCAGTGGTGAATTTAAAAGACAGCATTAGGAAATCCTGCTTTGGGCTGGGAATGTAGCTTAGTGGTAGAGTGTTTGCCTAGCATGCATGAGGCTCAGGATTCAATTCCTAGGTACCATATAATTAAAAAAAATAAAATTAATTTTAAAAGAAAACTCAATTTTGAGAGAAGGCAGGCCAATGTCTTCATTTCTACCTTATTCTAACCTCTAGAATTATTCTTCAAGGAGCATTGACGCCAATTTCAGCAGCCAATCCAATACAGTAGTTTGTCCTTGAGTAAACTCACATGCAGAGCTATGAGCGCTCATACTAGAGGCCACAGAACTCAGAACTAGTCCTGGGGAGGACTTGCCAGCCTGGGCTCAGGCTCTTCACTTGGCCCCCTCACTTGAGTTTCCAGTCAGGCCACTTGGGTGTTTTTTACAGTTGATTTCCTGCAGCACTTTAATGAAATACTATTGAGCTCAGATTTGGGAGGGCTGTTTGGCATAAAATTACTTCCCCACAGAAAGAGATGCTAAAGTCTTGTTTCTTATGATACATGCTGGTAGCTGTTAAGAGAAAATTAAAGTTCCCACTGCTTTTTCTAGTGAGAAATGGGAAGGTGTTGTGTTCCAGCCAAGGAGGCTCTGTTCAATAGGAGGAGGAGGCTCTCCTGCTGGCAGCTTGCTGGTCCACTGCAGAGACCACAAAGGGGGCTGTGTCCGTGGTCACTTGTAGCACGCATTTAACTCATTAGTACTTCAGTCCTGCCTGTTCAATGCTTTTTGAACCTTATTGTGTTTTTACATTTCTCCTTTCTTAACTAATTTAATCCTTAAGACACACATACATTGTCAGGAGCCAAAAGGGAGTTTTTCAACATGATAGGCTTGACTATCTCACTGGAACACCTTGAGGCTGTTTACAGAATCCGATCTTTTCACCCTGCCCTAAGCAAACATCCTGCAGCTGCTACAGCCAATGAAAAAGCTTCCTTAACAGCCAATGAAAAGGCTTCCTTATTCTAAGCATATAAATACCCCTGTGTGAAAAATAAAAATTTGCAGCTTGATCAGAATCCTTGTCTTGCTGTCATTCTTCATGTCTCTTGTCCCTTCATTACTTCTCGCTTAGGTTCACTGCCCTCGTTGACATCCTGCGGGTCAGGACAACTGGCGCCCAACGTGGGGCTTGAACTCTGGGCTTGGGCGCTGTCCCTGGGCTCTTCAGCTCAAGGCAAGTGCTCTACCACTTGAGCCACAGCAGCACTTCTGGTTTTCTAGTGGTTTACTGGAGAGTCCCATGGACTTTCCTGCCCGGGCTGGCTTTGAACCTCGATCCTCAGATCTCAGCCTCCTAAGTAGCTAGGATTAATTACAGGCGTGAGCCACTGGCGCCCAGCTTGCTGGTTATTTTTTTTGGAAATGTTTTTGGAACTCTGTGGCTTTGAATCCTCCAGATCTCAGCCTCTGAATTAGTCTGTATTACAAGTGTGAGCTCCCTTAGCCTGGCTTTGCGTCCAATTTCTTACATTGCTTTTGTGCTTGCTGTACGAGGGATGGAACCCTGTGTTCCAAGCTCCCCGAGCCTTCTACACTGAGCCTACCAGGGGCTTAAGTTCTAAGAGTAGAGGTGTAGGGTGGGAGGGGGGTTAGTATTCCAACCTGGAGCGCCTCCCACCCCGACCCTGGCCCTCGGTCTTCCTTCTCTGACTCTGGGAAGCCCTTGTCTTCCCCACCCCTCTGGATCACTTCTGTCTGTCTGTAGACTGTCATCTTCCACTCTTGTGCCTTGTCCTTCCTCTTCCGGCTCCGGGATAGCCCTGCATTGGGAGCTGTTGCACAGATATGAACGTATGTATGTGTGCATGCGTGGATGCGTGGATGTATATACTGTGTGGCCTCCTACGCCTGCAGCCTGAAAAACCAGAAGACCCATGGATTCCTTAAGGAACCCAACAAATAGACACAAACTGGTAAAGCAGCCACAAAAGCAAAGAGGGAGGCCAGTACTGCACAGCACTCCAGAACAAACAGGACAGGACATCGGCCTCTCTGAGTTCCCACCGTGAAGCAACAGACGCGGGACGTGGGGCCAGCGGCATGGCACACGCCAGGGCCCAAGCTGGCCTCTAAAAGAACTGTGGTCCCTTGATTATGAACTCCGCACACCAGCCTTGGCCGATACGTCAAAACCACCTAATAAAATTAAGGTTAGATCAAGCCATCAATCAGTCCTCGCCTTTCCAGTAACTCAGAGCCAGATAGGACCTCAGTGGGTGGGGAGGACAAATCAGAAGAGGAGGAAAAGGAGGATGAGGAACAGGATACTGGGGATGAAGAGGAACAACCCACCCAGGGAAAAGGCCAACAAGAGTGTAAGAGGCTTAGCCTTCGGTTTGTTGAAAAGCTTAAAAATGCATGTGCCCAATATGGCCCGACTGCCCCTTATATGTTAGCCTTATTAGAAAACCAAAGTGCGCGCTGGCTCACCCCTAATGATTGGAAGTTCCTGGCCCGCGCCACCCTTAATGGGGGTGATTTTCTTTTATGGAATGTGGACTTTAAGGAACAATGTAGAGAGACTGCAAAAAAAATTGGCTAAAACATCTTCAAAAACCTGGACCTATACTAAACTTTTGGGTAATGCGCCCTTTGATACCAATGCTAAACAGGTGCGCTTTCCTACCGGACTTTTGGCACAAATTCAAAATGCTGGCCTTTATGCTTGGAAGCGGCTCCCTCAAAAGGGATCGGCTACTTCCCTGGCAAAAGTTAGACAGGGGCCAGATGAACCCTACAGTGACTTTGTCTCGTGGCTTAACTTGGCTGCAGAAAGGCTTCTTGGGCCCAGTGAAAGTGAAAATGTCTTTGTTAAACATCTTGCCTTTGAAAATGCTAACCAGGCACGTCAAGATGTCCTCCGGCCACATAAAAACAAGGGTGACCTCTCTGAGTTCGTCAGGCTTTGTGCTGGAGTAGGGACTGCTCACGCCATGGGGCTCGCCATAGGTGCTGCTTTTACCAAGGCATTTCAAAGTTCAGTCCCCGGCTCCCTTATTTGCTTTAATTGTAAACAACCTGGTCACTTTGCGCATGAGTGTCCCTTCGGCAAACGAAGCCAAGGGACAATGCCCTCCCAAGCTACAGGTAGACCACTCCCTTTGTCCCAAATGTGGTAAGGGCTGTCATTGGGCCAAGGAATGTAGATTTAAAACAAATGCCCTTGGACAACCCATTCTCTCTGGTTTTCTTGGGAAACTTCCCTTGGGGCCAGCCCCTGGCCCCGACTATCCCCAAAACAAGCCCAGGGGCGATAGGGTTTGTCCCCTCCCAAACTCCCGGTCCTACACAAGCCCCCCACCTCTCTCCACGATTGCCTCCCTCCAGCAGGCAACCCCAGGCAGTGCAGGACTGGACCTCTGTGCTGCCACCAACACAGTACTAGACTCTGTACAAGGACCTCAAATAATATCCACTGGGACCCTGGGACCCCCTCCGTCTCATATGTGTGCCCTTATTCTTGGAAGAGCCTCTGCTACCTTACAAGGTGTCCAAGTTTTTCCTGGTATTATTGATAATGATTATACAGGAGAAATAAAAATTTTGGCCACGGCCATTAATGGGATTGCAGTTATTCCAGCTGGAAGTAGGCTTGCACAATTGGTACTGCTCCCATTAAATTCAGGGGGTTCTTCTACTGCTCAGACCACACCGCGAGGAACTGCTTCTTTGGGGTCTTCTGATCCATATTGGGTTCAGCCTATCACTCAAAAAAGACCCACCCTCACCCTGCGAATTGAAGGAAAGGAGTTTCAGGGAATTTTGGATACTGGTGCAGATGCCACAGTTATTTCCCAAAAATATTGGCCACCAAGTTGGCCCCTTACCTCATCCCTAACTGACCTTAAAGGCATAGGGCAGTCAAAAAACCCTTTGGTCAGCTCCAGGGTTAATTGGACTGACAAAGAGGGCAATAAGGGAACTGTTACTCCTTTTGTTGTTCCTGACCTCCCTGTTAACCTAGGGGGCCGGGATATCTTGACCCAGATGAAAGTTATCCTTGCTAGTCCCAATTCTGTGGTTACACATCAAATGCTCCCTATGGATTTTGTCCCTGGTACGGGTCTTGGAAAATCAGGACAAGAAATCATTGAGCCCATCCAAGCTACCCAAAAAACAGATAAACATGGGCTTGGATATTCGGATTTTTAGTATCGGCCCCAAGGTGGCTGCCAGAATGCTTGATAAAACAGGTGAATGGCTGACCACAACCGGGGAAACCTTCCCCCCCGAGGATGATTCCTTTTCTCTTACAGATGCAGCTAGAACTCCAGACATGGACCCTCCTGTTTGAATTTATTAAATAACAGATTGATCTCTTGGCTTCTAAGCCCATACAGGCTCATCACCATCGCCTTGATATGGCAGACCAAGGCATTGAGATCTAGGATTTACCCCAGGATTTTAATTAGTGTTTTGCCATGAGCTTGTTCCAGTGGGAACCCCCCCTCTTCCCTTTTCTTATTTAGAAAACCCTTCTCCTTATTCATAACTCCTGACCACTCAACGGGCAAGACCTATTGCGCCCTTGCCATAAGGGATAGGTTTGCCCTCCTCCTATAGGCCCCTCCGCTTGGGGGAGGATGCACTTATGGGAGGAAGAAAAAATGCTCTAATCAAGGGTGCAGGTAAGACTGCCGGAGGATGGATCCGAGAGATCCCAAAACCCAAGACCCCTGAGTGGCAAGCTCTGGTGCATGACGGTTGGCATGCATACCCACAAGCCATCTCCTCAAAAAACATGCCAAGGCCTGTAAAATTCCCCTCCCCGAGTGAGGACGCTCACTCGGGAGCAGAGAAAAACGTTGGGCCCTTAGAGGAACAGTGTCGCTACCGCCTCGACCAGCAAGGAAGACGCAACACCGAACTCTTCTCTCTGCAGTTTATTCAGGACCTTTGAGTAATCTTCTGACCCCAAC